CGATGACACCCCACAAATTACAATATTATATATGTCCAAATCCATGCCAACATGTGGTCATAAAAGTATTAAACTCATCATTATGGTTCATCTTTATATTATAAGGCTGAAAAAAGAAAAATGAAACAAAAACATAAATTATTTTGAAAAAGACAAAAGGGCCCCTTTTTTAGGCTTTTATCACCGTAGAAATGGTGCATGAACCTGTATAATTCATTGAATAAGATAGTTGTCAATTTTTGTCATCAATAGCCAAATTTTGAGCATTGAATTAATGTGACAAATTATTGGTCTATTTTTCTTATTTTAGTGATAATATATAGTTCTTTTATATGCTCAAAAATAATTCATTAAGGTAATTAATGGGTCCCCAGAAAATCTAAAAAAATAGAAAAGTAGACCTCTCATGAACCACCTTCAATGGGCATATTGAATGCTCATTTGAAATCAGTTGATTTTTCCTTTTAAATGACTCAGTACAATTTTAACAGTGTTTCAATGGCTTTGACCCACTTGTTTCAAGTTTTACCATTTATCTTATGTAAGTGTAAATATAGAAAATACCAATATGGACGCGGAACGCGAGTACAATAAAGTGTTGATATGGTGATATAGTAAATTTTAAAAAAAATTAAGACATGAATACACGCGGCACCAACACATCAAAAAATAATAATATAATATTTTATTATATATAGAAAAATAAATATTTTTATTCATTTTATCCATATATTCATGAATGAAAGTACTAATTTGAAGTTTCGAATTAAATGTTTGTTATTTTAAATTGCATATTATTTTTAGTATTAGTCCATAATAAATATATTTTAAATTGCATTGAATTTTATTATTCAAATAAAAATAATTACAAAATTACCACGCCTTATCCTGAAAGTTTACAAAGCGTGTCCTGGTCGTGTCCATATCGTGTCAAATCAGAAAATAAAATATTCAAATTTCAAAACACTTCTAAGTCATATTCAACATGTGCCCCGTGTTCAGACCGTGTTCAAGTGTTCGACACCGTTACTACAATCTTAGGTGAAGTGTACGTAATTTTTAATTCTAAACTTTCAAGAGTAGCTAGTATTCTCATTAAGTTTTTAATTCTCAAAATAGGGAAAGTGGAGCTAGAAATGTTCGATCTGAACCCACCAATAAATTTGTCCCATCCTATTGTTAAACTGAATTGGTTTGGACTTGGCTCTGCATAGAATGTTCTCGAATCCATGCTACTAAATATTTCCATATATTTTAAAAGAACTTTTGTGGTTAAGTAATCCCAATTTTACATTTTTTAAAAAAACTAATACCAATTTTTATATGGATACATTTGAATATACTCTTATTTGAATGAACCATAAAAAGAAATGTGAAACACTTCACTAAATTTTTTAATATTAAATTCCTAGCTTTTTTGCTTTTAAATAAGAAATTCAAAATTATAATATTATTAGTAACATAGTTGTCCATTTTCTTATGTGCTACATGCAAGTTGATATTAAAATAACCATCCTTTGTCAGTCCATGGAAGGGCTTTTGTGTTATACAAATTAGGCACAAAAGCGGCAAAATTGGGTTGCTTTTAGGTTAATTAGCCCTCGTGTGGTCAACTTTCAAATTGCAATCTTCCTACTCAACAATTGTAGCCACTAAAAACATTCATATTCATTCTCTGCATAACATGCATGAACTAGTAAAGAACTCACAAATTGGTAGTAGTATATGAACTAGTATGAACCCACAAGTTGGTGGTAGTAGTATGACCCGTAGGAAGGAGAATGAGGAGGGTTTAGGAAGATGAGTAATAAAATTAAGGAGTTGGACATATCTTTGGTCCATCTTGAAGTGTGTTGAAGGTGTACTAGTGAGTTGTTGGATAGTGCTGTTGGATCCAATGCTAACATGCGCGAATTAGTAAGAACCCACAAATTGGGAAAGTAGTTAGAGCATGACCCGTATGTAGGAGGGTTTAGGAAGATGAGGAATAAAAATAAGGAGTTGGACAAAGGAGTTTATGTTGTAGTCTCGTGTGTCGAAAGTGTAATAGATCGGACGTAAGTTGTTGGGTGCTGCCGGATCCAATGCTAGCATGCATGAACTAGTAAGAACCCTCAAAATGGGAAAGCAGTTAGAGCATGACCTGTACGGAGGAGAATAGGAGGGTATAGGAAGATGAGGAAGAAAAATAAAAAGTTGGACATATCCTCACTTTATCTTGTAGTCTAATGTACTAAAGATATAATGGGCCGAACGCAAGTTGTTGGGTAGTGTTGTCGGATTCAATATAAACAAAACTCTTTTAACATTTTGTCTTACCCGAACTCATAACTCTCTCGATTAGGTCAGATCATCCTGCCTACCCAGCTAATACTCACCTCTCGGGTGACCAGACCAAGGGTTGAGTCTGACTCAAGTACCACTTGTAATACACCGAATGCTTGCTCTTTGATCCAAAAATTTAAACTGTTGATTAGTATTACATACTTATCCTTATATGCCTAAGTCATTTCCCATCCGAATTTGATGTGGGATAAGTCCCTTCTACAGAAAATGTTACAAGATTCAAAGTGTTTCACGTCATTAAGAAAATAAAAATAAAAATGGGGATAATATAAAAAATGGATTAGACTAAGTTTCAAAATTGTTTGGCAAGAGAAAAAAAAAATGATTTTAATAATTAGTTAAAAAAAATACTTCATGTGATAGTCACTAAACTTAAGTTGACACCCATGCATGATCCAAAGAGTGAAATCATCATTCTTCTTCTTCTTCTAAATGATATCCCATTTGAATCAATAATTTTGTTACTTTGGTGGTGACAATATTATGACATAGGCCAGAGTGACGCACACTCATCATGCATATGATTTTACCAAACCACCACATAACCGATCGGTTTTATGAATCTACTACCACTGGTCTAGTAGTCTTGCGTTGAAAGGTGGTCAACATAGGAATATAAAATTGAGATATGTTGAGCACTCAATGTGGTAAATATATAATACAATAACCAGAGAGAGTTGATGTGGCTGTGGTGTCTTTACAGGGGGTCTGATCGATAAGACATTTATAGTGAGTGAGTGATTCAATCAAAACTTTCAAAGCTTTAGAATATGTTTCAAACTCCAAACCTCTCAAAAAGTTAATTGTGGTCGAAAGTTACACTTTGGCTGAGAAATGAAAACCTAAGTGGGGGCTCTAAAATGGCAGCCTTTTGATTTCACACTAACAAGTGAAAAGAGAGAACATATCATTACTAATATTACTTCCATCAAAATGTAGTAATCATTAGATTCATTTGTACATGTACTGATATTTTGGAGGTAGGAGGTTAAAAAAAAATTTAAAATAAAAAATAATTAAAAAATCCTTACTTTGCTATATGAGGATTAAACCCTCCATATTTTATTTTGAAAAATGAAAAAATACCACTAGACAAGATAAAAAGTAAGTTAAGAATGCTCCTAAAAGAGTTGGGCGACATAAAATAACATTTGCCCTCATGTTCTTAATAAGAGTAATTGTACTTTTAAGCCCTAAGAAATGTAAAACAAATTAAATATAAATAATATAATACCCGTAATCATTGGTTCACTTGATATATATATATATATATATATATATATATATATATATATATATATATATATATCTTTTAAATATTACATATAGAAAATAGGAAAAAAATTCTTGGTAGCACTTTAAATAATAAGAAAATTTTCTTCGGAACACTCTAATGTGCTTAAGGAAGGCTTGTCTGGCCACCTAAGCTTTAATTCTACCCTGAACACACTCGACCTCAAATTGGTCCTCAATGACATAATAGTTACTAGTTTCCATAACTCCACCATTATAGAATATTAAACCCTAATAAAGAATTATATAAGAATTGTGTAGTCTAGACTTGTCAACTATTAACTAAAATATTTTAGAATTACTTGAATAGTCTTGTAAATATTTTAAACATCGTTTTGGAGTATTTCAGAATCCTGGATTTTTGTAAATATCTTTGCAGCATCCTATAAATAAGGGTGGGAGGTGATTCTCCTGTTCACCAAAAAACCACATCAAACTCTAGGTATTGACATGCTGAAAGCTAAAACATAACTTAGTAATAGGAATGATGTGCAATGAGGATGATTTAAAACTTGTCTTCATTATTATCATTTACACCATAATGGTTTAGAAACTGTTTGTGGTTAGAATCCGTTAAATGTATCTAAAACTGTGTGTTATTAGCAGTTGTTAAATGTATCTGAAAAAAAACTGTATGAAACTGTTAAATGTATCTACAAAAAAAAATTAAAAATCCGTACACATTTCTTGTAACTTTATTAATTCAAAAAAAAAATTATATACATTTCTTCTAACTTATTAATTCAAAAAAAAAATTCATATACATTTCTTTTAACTTTATCTCAACTTTATTAATTCAAATAAAAATCTGTCTGTTGTTAACCCACACCCACGAAAACAAAATTCTCTTTTCAAACGGACCACGAAAACAAAATTCTCTTTTCAAACGGACTGATTTATACAAAATTCTACTTTCAAACGGACCTACACTCGGAATTGAAATTCTCGTTTCGAACGGACTGATTTACACTCGGAATTGAAATTCTCCTTTCAAACGGGCTGATTTACACTCGAAATTGAATAGCTTGCATATCAATATATCATTCCTCAGACCAAGCGCCATGACAAGCTTCATCTAAAATGTTGATTCTGTTTGTCTAAAATAGTAGGCAAAGTATCATCCAATATATTGTTTGGAGGGACCAGAAAAACAGATTTTAGTAGTAATTCATAAATCCTGCATACATACAACAAAGAGTACATGTGATGAAATTATGCATCAATTTGGATCAACATTGAAATGCACAAAATGCAAGTAAAAACCCTAGTTTTGATATAAACATAGCACTTAAAGGGTAAAGTAACCAGTTTCACCACCTGCGGCTGAGAATCACAATCACATCGCAGTTATTGGCAGTATCTCTATAAACTTTTTGCCAAATAAACCATAATTGCAGAATGTATAGTAACCAAGATAAGTTATGGTGAATAAACCATTTTAGTCATTTACAATTAAATGGACAATTCCAATTAATCACTGTGCTGTGATGTATACAAAGAGAAGGAACTATATTAACCAAGCCACTGCTGGGCACGACGTTCCCCACCACCACTAACAGAATGCCGAATGCTGATCTTCTCATTTGCATATTTTTGCTGGAGCCACTCAAAACCATTCACATCGAGTTTCCCGGAAACTGATTTCCCTTGCTTCCTACGACTTTGTTGTTCACGTATAGAAGCCCAAAGTTTCGTGATAGCATCCCTTTGCTTAGAGGTGAACCTTGAAATGTCATCAAAGGCATGCTTTACTAAGATGTCTATCACTGTTTGGCACCTGAGAAGATATAGTTCAGTATGTTCACAGCAAACATAGATCAAATAGGGGAAACAATACAATTTTATCAAAAAGTAGCAACCATTTAAAAATTTGGACATTAAACAACAAAAAAGAGGAGAAAATGAAAGAAGAAAATATATTCACAAAATAGCATTCAGTTTTACCATGGGATTTTGTAACGCTGTGCAGCAATCTCCAAACAAAGAACCAGTGCTTCTCTTTGTGACTTGAGAAATCTTTTGGTCTCTTCCTCTTCCTCCTTCCTAATTTTAGCTGCCGCCTCTTTCTTTCCCTTTGTTCTTTCATCTTTCCTCAATGTGCTTGGAATCAGAGCATTAAGCCCAAATGGATCTAACTCCTTGTTATTTCCCTCGCATGAAGCAACCAAAGACATATCCTGCTTTATCTGACTGTCAGCAGTTGCCACTTCAATTTCTTTCAGGGCTGCAGCTTCTTCTGTGTCATCATCCTCAGTTGCAACAGGAAGATTTGATATGGCTTCTTTTATTCGTCCAGATGCTTTGGAAAACTAAATGATGTCCCACCAAGTTAGAAGATGAGAATCATCCAAAATGAAAAATCAAACAGAGGCATTTCAGCAAGTGTATGTATTTTTTTCATCAAGTTATCTCAATATATAATTCACATAAAACTAAATGATGTCCCCACCAAGTCAGAAGATGAGCATCATCCAAAATGAAAAATCAAACACAAGAATTTCAATAAATGTATGTATTGTTTTCAGTAAGTTATCTCAATATATAATTCACATAACAGCCTCCTCACAAATCATAATCAGTGCAAATTTATGGGCATGTTTCACTGAAAATATAGGCTGTCGTCAAAAGGACAATAACTGAAAATTGCTAAACAAAGACATGACCATGAGTATCCAAGTCCCAAGACAATGAGAGAAAGAAAAGGAAAAATGAACATCAAATAGCTCGTATCAAGCATCACATTGTTGGTTGAAACCAGCCTTCATGGACAAAAAATGATTCAAGTAGAAACCACTCTCTATGATGGCATGAAATTTTTCAATACAACCTAACCGTTCACAAGTTCAAAGCAAAATCGCTGGCAATCTTCATTTCACTAAACAAATGGAACCCTCACACGAATAAACCAGGGGCCAAGAGAAAAACAACCACAGGGATGAGCCTGAGAACTTCGTAATTTTAACCCAAAGAGATTACCAAACCCCAGTAAGTTACTAACTCCCTTTTTGCTATCAGAAATCTCAGAGACGGCCATCCCAGCCGAAGATCAAGCTTCAGAATGGATTTTTCCAGAAGTCTAGCCTATAGTTTCGAAGAGATGAGCAGGCAAGACGTTAAGTTGAAGGGTAAGGGTTGACATAAGCCATTCTGGGTTTAGTAGCATAAAAAGCATTTTTTCAGCTATGAAATACCATATATGATGCGAGTCATATCATAATCATCCTTTAAATTTATATTTAAAATACTTAGTTATTCATTTCTCTTTGCTCCTAATCTTGATTTCAGTGCATAAAAGTTGTGAGCATAATTAATTAAGCTAAAATTGAGGAACTCTTCCTGTGCCAAAAATTGAACTTACCAACTCTAAAGGAACAAAAATTACATTCTTATCCATTCAAGAGATTTTTATACATTTTTGCACACATTTCATAAAGGGGCAAAAAGAAAAAGAGAGAACAGAAAATTTCTTTCTTAGGAAGAAACTTGATTTTTTTATTTTTTTTATTTGACAAGTCTTAGGGAGAAACTTGAAATTGTTTTGTCTTAGTAGTAGCTCTTGAAATCGTTTAAACTATTTTAAGATTTGACCTCTCATTATTTGGGTCTTGGGCCTAACTTCAAGAATAATATCAAAAGGATGTATAATAAGATCGATAGAACTGGGAGACATCTCAAGATCCCACAACTTCTATGATCTTATAGGTATTGTACAAGGAGTTAGGGACTCGAGCCCCATGCGATTTTACATGAGATCCAAATTAATTCTAATATTTTAGATAGTAAGACTGTAAGATCGTAAATCTGGATCGGGATTATTACAACCATAATGTAGACAGATTTCGAAATTTTAGTTGTAAATCTATTTGTTAGTGATGCAACCTACTTTAATCAAGTTACTTCAGTATCAATTTCTGATGCTAATAATTTTTGGAACTATAATCCAATGCATTATCTTCTTTGTGCATATTTTCTCTTCTCCAGTTTAAGCAACATTGGGACTTTAGCCCATAATAAAAGGCTTGCAATCAGTAGGTTAAGATCTAGTATGGAGCTATGCCCATTTGCTGTGTGATGCTTTCACCATTCTCATCTCTAAAATTCAAACTATGGTCACATTGAATCTCAGAGAATTTCTCCTACTGATCTTACCTGGCACCTTGCATAACCCTAACGAGGCTCCTATCTGGCCCTTCCAATCTCCATTCACTTTCTAAACTCTACCCATTCAATACCTTGAGGATTCCAATAATTGAATCTTCAACAAACTAGTATAGTTGATATATATCCTCTTTCTTGATGAATTAATTCACCACAAAGCCAAATTCCACCTCCAAACCTTTCTCCTTTAAATTCTTTAGTTGCTAAAACGTTGCAAGTCAGAACTTCAGTCCAATTGTGGCACAAAGGAGGCTACATGTATGTTCTTTTACATAGGAAAGATAACTATGTCACCTAAATGCATACGTCCAAAGCTAAAAGACACATGATGGATCATTTATCCCTATTGCATTAATTGTTATGGCCATCACCAATCTGCTCCTTGGAATGGCTAGATTAATTAGGTAGTGCCTGAGAATTTTAACTCCTTTCCGGCTCCCTACTTCCCCTATGAAAGAAGGCTAATCTGAAAGGATAAGACGGTGGACATGGCAATAGGGGGATTGTTGGGAACTCAGCAAGTTCATAAGATAAATATACAAGTACTTGATAATATCTATTTTAATACAACTCATCCCAAATCCTTGATCCCAACTACAGATATATATTGAAATTAAAGGGAGCATTCTAATAGTATCGATTGTAAGCCCTTAGGAACCAATTTGTTCGAGAGCATTAAAATACATGCTCGTTGTAAAAAAATTGGATAGCATATCCCGCTAAGATTGAAAGGAAAATTTTATAAAACAGCTACTAGACCAATTGTTCTTTATGGTACAGAATGTTGGACAGCTAAGAAAAAATACATTTATAAAACGACTAGAGGAAATGTGAATGTTGACAATGTGCAGAAAACAGGAAAAGATAGAATTAGAAATGAACACAGTTTTGAAATGGTTGAAAAAGCACCGATTGAAGATAAAACGACAAAAAATGTATTAAGATGGTTTGAACATGTGCAAAGAAGACCAGTAAGTGTGAAAATTAGAAAGAGTGACATTGTCCACAGTGAAGGTAATGCTAGAGGGGGAAAAAAAAAATGTACAATGTAAAGAGTTAGTAAGGAATGATGTGATGACATGTTTGACTGAGGCTATGGCCTTAGATAGAGCATAATGGAAATATAGAATTCATGAAGAAAGACACTGTTGAGTTAAGTTAATTGAGCACATAACGTTTTTCTCAAGCTTGGACATTCCCAGCCGGCATAGTTTTCATTTTTTTTTATATATATAAGAAAATTTTATAAATTAAAAGCCAAAGGGGGACAACACATATACATAGAGTATACAGGAGCAACTACTAAAGTCCTTCAATACAATTTAAATTTCCTAAAAATTAAGCAAAAGAATGTAATTGATCTCAAAAATCTTCAAAATTCAAAAACTACAAATATTTCAATATTAAAAGCTTTAACTTGAAGACCAGCACCTTAACTCCTTCAAAAGGACACCCATTCATCTTCGGAAAATGACACCAGATGATACAAAGAGGCACATCTTGCCAGGCCTCAGGGGACCTCTTCGCAACACAGCCTCAAAGCCACTTTCCAAGCAAATAAATATGAAGTGGCACATATCTCAGTCTCTTAACAAAAATTTCTACTGCACACGTTTTCCTCTCAATTATGTCACTGCAAATACAAGTGAAAGAACAAACAAAAAAAAATAGGCAAACCTAATAAAAAGTATTTCTTTCTTCAAGAAAATGCACTTAAACAAGATATGACTCAAAAATTGCAGCTTGGTACAGCCTTCACAGTTTTTCTGATAAATAATTTTTTGTTCCCATTTTTACCATGTGCTATTGCAGAATATAATGTGATACATGATATATATATCTTTCTAGACATGATACAATAAAATCCAAGGAATAGAAATTCTCTGAAGGGATACACATTTTTTTCTTTTTTCAGGAGATGCAAGAATTAACAATTTTACGCACTTAACATATAATGCAATTGATGGAACAACTAAAATAGATAGCAGTAATGAATTTCATGGTAGTTGTGATGTTTAAATCTGCAATTCTTAAATGACAAATACTTGTAAATTCTGCATGCATGATGTCATTCTTAGCATAACATTCTCGTTACATCAACATGCATAAATCATTAATTTCCAAAAAAAAAAAAAAACATGCATAAATCATTTAATTCACAGTTTGAAAAATTATGAATAAAAAATAGAAAAAGGAGGAGGAGAAGAAGAAAGCATACCACAAAGCTGTCATCAGTGAAAAGATCATTTGCCACCACAGCCCTGATTGTCCATGAAGTTAATTGATTTCTTTGCTTCTTATTAAGGCACTATAGGCAAATGACATTAAGAAATTAAGCCTCAATAAGAATCTATTATTCATACAAGGAACCAATAATCAATAAAATTTCATTTAGAAGAAACTAAACGCTCACTTCAACTGTATCTTGTGCCGCCGAGAACAGTGCATGATAGTCAGCTCGTACTGAAGGATCATTGCAAGAGGTGGGTGATGACATTGCAGCTTCAAGCATGGCAAAAAAGTGATCGCTGGTCTCAGTTTTGACGCTACCAGCCTGTATCAGCTGTATGGCAAGCTTTGAAGCCTTACTGAACTTTTTGGGATTTTTTATATGTGACAATATCTTTTGCATGGCCTCTATAATTTGTGTTACAGAGGCATCAGTTGTCGTCTTAAACCTCAAGCGCTTTTCAGGAGCAGTAGCTGGAAATTACAACGAAAAACTTAGCTTTTCCAATATAATAATAATACTTGTATTAAAAAAAAATAAAAAATCACCAACTGGAGGTCGTTCAAATATGTGTATTTTTTTATAAATTAAAACCTATGAAAATGAAAAGGAAAAAAAAAAAAAATTAAAGGGGGTCGATTTAGGAGCAGAGAAAATGTAGAAAAGAAAATCAAAATTCTGGGTCACTATCTTTTGGGTAAATGTGGTGCCTGAAAAGAATGATAAGCTCGATTAAGCTAAATCAAACAGTTGTAGTAGGCTTCTTTGGGTTGAGTTGTCATGTTCTCTAGTCCACGTAACAAAAAACCCTTTTTAAAATTTTCATCCTCTTAACTACAATTTTTGGACAGCCAAACAGAGCATCAAGTCAGCTGAAATCTATCAAAAATTCAATAGATATCCATGTCAATATTATTCACCTTTCACTGACAGGACCAGATCCATACAGTATTACGAAACCCTAAAAATCCTGAAAGGAGATTTTCAAAAAATAAAAAATACTAGCCACAATAACTCTATAGTCACTGAATTCATATATACAAATTATATATAAAGATGGAATTCAATGACTGAATGGGATCGTTCAAACTAAATAAACCCTAAAATTGTTTAGCTTGAAAAACAAATACAGTAATAAAGGCTCACTAAGTTAGGGTTTTGCTTTGGTTAAAATAAAAAATAAAAAAAAATAAAAAAGCATTGTACCTTCAGGCTGTGATTGAGGAGGCTTGGAACGTTTGAGGGCACTCTTGAGAACAGGAATCGGTGGATTTGCTGAAGAGTCTTTGGCGATAGTATCATTCGCATATTTTTGATGCTGTTGTTCTTGAGCAGGAGGAGGAGGAGGTGCAGAAGGGGGTGGTAGACCTTGAAATAGGCTGTCAGCCATTGCTCACTCTCTTTCTCTCTATATATTTATATATATGTATGTATGTATGTTGAAAAACTGGAACAAAACCTCCCCTTTGTCTTCGTCTGATTGCCCTAATCGGACGATTTTGGTCCGTTTTGGGTTGGGTTAGGAATGGATTTGAACGGAAAGTCAAATTCGATGACTTATTTCTTTTTTCTATTTTTTTTTCCCTTTTTATAAGAAAAGTACTAGTACTAATTATACAGACACGCGCATTATTATACATACATATATACTGTATTGTTTTAATTCTTTATTTACATTTTTAATTACAAATTTGTTAAACATTTACTTTTAATTTATATTGAATAGGAGAATCTGTTTTCACTTCCACCTTCAAAAAAATAAATAAATAAATACCAGCATTTCGTAATTTGGTCTTGCATCACTAACGGATGTACTGTCGGCACAGTAGAGGCATCCGCCCCCACTAAATTTTTTTTTTATTACATTTTACATCCCTAAGTTTGTACTTTTTATATTTTTATTTATAAAATTTTAAAATTGCCCCCACTCAAATTATAAAAAAAAAAATCATTCTATATATATTTGTCCTCCTCATATGAATTTTTAGATTAATGCACCATATCATACAATCATAAGCAATGAAACCTTATTGCATATTTGCATAATATGTAAAGATATTAAACAACACAATAGAATTCGAGTTCTTGAAAGAATTGAAAGGAGAATGAGGACGCACGTTTGGTTAGAGAAGAAAAGAAACATGAAAGGAGGCCAATAACTTAACCCTTTAACAGCGTATTTTGCTCTAATTTAAAAAATGGGAGGAATTTGAAGTATAAGAAGGAAAAGTTAGTGATCACTCATTTTCTTCCTTTTCTTTCTATCCAGAGACAATAAAAAGAGCTACTACTCTTCTTTCCTTTTTTTTCTTTGTTTTTTTAGTTTAATTTTCCTTAACTATCCAAAAATGAAGAGAGGTTAACACTAATCGTTAGTCTATTTCCTCCTTCTCCCACGTAAGTTAAGAATTTTGATATAAACAATACAGTGCAAATATACCTCACAGTCTACAAGGATTTGTTATTGTAGATTGCAAAGGAAGAATAGTAAGAGATGTGCACTTGCACTTTTTCATGTGAAGACTTGACCACCCCCACTCTTTGAGATATCACTAGGTTACCATCCATGATCTAATATGCATAAACTTTTACAAAGATATTTCAATAGCAAAGAATTTATTTATTACTTTCGCTTTACTTTATATATATATATATAAAGTAAAGCGAAAGAAAAAAAAATTCTTTGCTATTGAAATATCTTTGTAAAAGTTTATGCATATATATATATATATATATATATAAAGTAAAGCGAAAGTAATAAATAAATTCTTTGCTATTGAAATATCTTTGTAAAAGTTTATGCATATATATATATATATATATATATATATATATATATATTGTAGAATCTTGAAAGACCACAAAAGAAGTACCTGAACATTTGCCAACTCATCAATTCAAATATCTCACAAAAACTATAATACAGCCATATCAAGTGCACAAATGAAGAAGCATAATGATAAAAGACAAATATATATATATATATACACACACACAAACACACATATATATATCAAAAGAACTAATTTTCAGCACATTTGTTAATTTTCTGGTCATTTTTAAACATGCTTGTTCATCACTATAGATAGATCATACACCAGAAATTTACTAACTATTTTTTTTTTTTTTTTGGGGGTCCTTTTTCCCACTTCTTTTTTGATAATTGCTACAAAACTCAAGTTTGATTGTACAAACAACAAAACAAGGGAGGCTCGAACTAGTCTTAGCTTCATAGCTTCCGAAACATTATCCGACTAAAAGTTCATTTCTGTGGAGGATCTAAAATGTAGAAAAGAAAAAACGAAAAACAATAGTCAACCAGCTGATTCAAATGCCTACATCATATCCATTGATTCTACAAAAATCTTTATGTGATAATGTCCCCAAAAATGGCCTCTGCACAGGTTTGGCTTACAAAATTCTTGCTGAATTCCTCTGTTCTGTATCATATGCCTTGACATTGCAAACAAGGCAGCTTTGACGCTCAATAATTCATTCTACCAAGCTCTGTAAAAGAACAAGAATTCAACTTGTTTGAGGTTTGATTATCCAACCAGTTGGTTGTCTAAGTGGTGTGAGTCTCTGACACTTGAATTAGTTCCTGTAAAAAAAAAATTAGTAATAGTTAGCGATAACAAAAAGTACTAAACAATGTCTGGCTACAAGTTTTCATATCTTAGAACCAGTTAATAATGTCAAGCACATGGAATTTATGTTCTTCTATGAACTGCCTCACCACTTCTTTCATATCTCAACAACAACAACAATGGGATTGGCCAATATTTCACATGTCTTGGGTTTGGCAGAGCCGTAATGGCCTCATAGACAGAAAATCTGCACAAAGGTATAAAAAAACCACATTTTCCCCTCTAGGGAATGAAACCTGTGTCTTTGACATGAAAAGACAATGTCCTAACCACTAAGAGACAAAGGGTCAAGAGCATACTTATGCCAAGTGACATTCTGTTCTTTTAAAATCTTCATACCAAAAGCCTCCAGCTGATCACAAAGGTTCTTCACCTTAATGCATTTACAAGAAAGCATTCTTTATATGCCTCAGAGCCAAGAATAATATAAGTCTTTCATTTTCTTTCTATATTACACAATTCAAGATTTCATTTGTGTTCATGTTGGTGATATCCTATAGTGTACATTGAGATATCCTACAGTATTAACTGTATGAAGTATAAATGTCTATTATTATTATTATCAACTTAGTATATTAGATTGCTATTAATTGAAAACTTTTAATTACTAGTACTTATTGTAGTTTACAAATTTACTATAAGAAATAATATAGTTTATAGTATTAAGTATTTTTTTTAATTCTTTTTTTATGCTGTAGTATTAAGGTATTAACAAGTCACCGAGCATAGTTTTTAATCATAGTATAATGTTTCATACCAGTTAATAGAAAATTAGTAAAACTAATATCTACTAGGGTAATTTATAAATAATCAATTTACAAATTTTCCAACCAAAATTTAAAATGGTCAATGACATGAGCAATTAATTACCGAAGGAAAAAAAAAAAAAAAATGACATGAGCTATTTGCTTGGAAATTTGGTACACCTAGTGAGGAGGACAAGCATTTAGGGGTGGCAAATCATGTTTAACGAGTCATGATCATGTTGTGTTGAGACAAGGTATTATGTCATAAGTGTCAATCCAAAAACTAGTTTATTATTCATGTCAGAGAACCTGGACACGAACACAATCCATTTATCAAACGGGTAGCACATCACATCCAGTGTAACCTGTTTCAATTAAATGAGTCGTGTATCCCGTGACACCACCTGTTTAGTGACTTGTTTAATATTTTTGTTAACAATAAAATACAAATATAACAAAAGGCTTAATAAAATTGAATACAAATTTTAAAAAATCACATTACCGTGAATTGACAAAAATACCTATATTGATTTATTGTGTTGGTACTTTTTAAAAGGGTTGAAATGACATGTTGAGCTAAAATAAATTAATAAGGTTGAAATAGGTCATAGGGTGAATTGGGAACTTAACACAATCAATTAAAAAGGTAAAATCAGTTGTAAACAGCTTGAGTTCTCAAACCCAAACACAACACAAATAATTAAATGGGTTTACATGACTTATGACACGAGCAAGATTAATGTTAACCCAACCCTGCTAATTCCTTGTTGGGCTCAAGTCGTATTGGCGGGTCATGTCCAATTTTGTCACTCCTAGGATGGAATCACATGGTAGAAATTTGAGTGTGGCACTGCATGAACATCTGTGGAAAATAGGGGAGGCCAGAAGAACAAAAAAGTTAAGGATGTGTGTGTGTGTGTGTGTGTGGGTGGGTGGGGGGGTTGTGGAATAGATTTAGGAGATGATTTTGATCAGAGATGGTGGCCCCTCGGGAAAGTTTAAGGGCACAAGAATGAAAGCAGATAATGATTAGGTGCTTAATGCCAATTACTAATACAAGCCCACTACTGAATAAATTCAAGTTTTGCCTCCAATTATGGTGTTTCCTATATGGGCTTTGATATATATCTTTTTTGATAAGTCCTACATGGGCATTGATATGATAATGGCAAGAGGTCTAAGCAGCTCTAAAATCATTAAGGGCGCGCAGACGCACACACCCCATGGGCATCATACTAAAAGATGAGGCATACTAACCATTTTTTTCTGCTTCGGCAGAATGCACTTCCACAGCAACACTGAAACGCTTTAATAGGATGATTATGATCATCAAAGTCAATCCCATAATCCTGCAAATTGATATCATATAGATCAGAAAGGAGTTCCAAACAATTTGCCATTCCACTTACCAAAAAAAGTTGTCATTCCAGTTATCTTCACCAAAATTCCAATCGAATTAGGACTCAACTTAGCAATGTAATTATTGCATATAAATTAGCAAGCATTTAAAATACTAAGATCACACTGAGCATTTACCATACGTGGCATCTCCTTCCACATGGGAGGTTGAGGTTTCTAATCCCCATTAGGTCAATAATCGGTTTGTAGCAGGTTTATTTGTAGGGTGTGTGTTTCTTACCAACTGAAAGGAAAAATTATGTATGCTACCACGATGCACAGCCTACTCAAATAAGAGGAAGTTATGAGAGAATGATCATGGTGCAGTAATATATCAGGAAGAATTTTCGTGCATGCCCTAGAGTCTGCAGGACAATAGAAGCCACTTGGGTAACCACCTCAACCCCAATATTTACAGCAAAGAGTACTTTTCTATTGCCCCTAATCGTTGCATAACATTGAGCACATGAAAATCCAATAAAGTGTAATAGGAGGGTCTAAGGGTAATTACACAAGTATGCAATTCATATGGACGACTATATAAAAATTATCTCAGATGTTTGTGCCCCAAAAATCCTACATATAAAATGTTACCCGGACCAAGGTAACTGTATCGGGTGCAGGTGCTGTTAGGACAATTGACAAATATAACAGATAAAAAGCACACACACACAAGCAAAACAAGATTTACGTGGTTTGGAAAATTGCCTAGTCCATGGGCAAAGAACGACTAACTTTACTTCAATAAACTTGATTACACACTCTTTTCTTCCTCACAATCTCAACTCTCTTTCTCTCTACAATTTTCTCTCTCTAAACTTATAGAGTCTTCAAAACCCAATTCCTTGTTGGACAAGTATTCCCCAACTTGCCTACAAGGAGTTACCATATCCATCTTCATCTCTAAAATAGTAGGTACAACACTTTCCCCAAATCATCAGTCTTTTCCCCAAGTCTTCTAGGTTTCAAAACTGATTGGAAAACTGTTTCTCACAGCTTCCAATAACTCACTGTCTAAGTTGAACCGGTTCAACCCCATTTAAACTGGTTCAACTTTGGCAGTAGCCAAAATCAAGTCTACAAATCTTCAACCTCCCAAATCATTCACGTAATCAACACGTGATCAAACTATGTCTTCACCTTCGCGTGCTTCTCCATAGATCCACCTTGAACAAGGATCTCTTTATACCTCCACCTCAAATAAAGCACTATGATGAAATTGAGAAACACTCAAACAGGTGCGTGTCCAAGTGTCAAACCTACACAAATCCCAAATTTTAGGTACAAGGATATATATCTAAAAGTAGGATACAGGTACATAGACATTTAGTATGCATTTAAATACATTATATTAATAATAATGTAATGTTTAATATTGTTGTTTTATAAGAATATACTCAATTGTTACCCAAATTAAATGAGATGTGGTAAAAGAAAAGGGTCTCCTTACTTGTGTAATATTAATAGAGTTTTCCTCAAAACTCTATTAATATTAATAATTTATAGTTATTAATGGTAATTTTGTATAGAAAAACTAGTGTTGGCCGCCTCCATTTTTTCTCAAAACTCTATTACTGGTAATTATTTATATTTATTAATGGTAATTTTGTATAGGAAAGTTAAAGTTGGCGTCCCAAATTTTTTTTAAATTCCCTTTTATATTACTCATCTATGGTAATTAAAGGTGGTTTGGGAAAAAAAGTTACTTGTGACCCTTCAAAGTCTTTAGTCTTGCTTTCAAAAATTCAAATCTAATAAAAAACAAAGAAAGTGTTGTAGTCCTTGCTACAATATATTAGTTACTATATATATATATATATATATATATATATATATGACTATAATTATTTGTTATAATTTAAAGTGAGAAGAAAAAGAATTGCTCGACAATTGACAACCTCATTTATAGGTGGTTAACCAATCTTCTCTCCATTTATTTTCTCATATCATTCAGATAGGCTCTTAAAAATGCACATTATAAATGCACCAAAACAAAAATCATTGCAATTACATTATTTTATTTTAAAATTTTAATTTTATATTATTACTTAAGATCTAAGAGAAAATAAAATAAAATAAACAACTACTCTAAAAGAATCAGAACAAACACGGGAATTTGAACGTGGCAAATTCCCATGAGTCATGGCTTTATGCGTTGGTGGATGTATTCTATTTAAAAACTATATAGTATGCACACAGGACTCCGAATAAAATCATCGACATGAAAATAGAAGAAATACAATATAAAAGAAAGAAAAGAGAAATGTGTAAAAAACTTGAATGAGATAAATCACTCATTCACAACTCTAGTATTTATAATAAAAAGAGCACATGCTCATATCACAAGAAAGGAAATTAAATCAAGTTAAAACATATTCTGTGACTAAACATATGCGTAAATAAAGTCAAACTCCATGATTCGTGACTATCAAATCTTTGCTAATATGGTGAGTCATTCCATAATTTGTGGTTGTCATATCTCTGCTAACACTCCCCCTCAAGTTAGTGCGTGGAAATTTGAGATGCTCAACTTGGACAATACATCTTCAAACACAATCTAAGTGTCGATCAACTAATCAATGCGTCTCCTCAGACCATAAACAATCAATGTCTCCTCAGACAATAACCAATCAATGTCTCCTCAGACTATAAACAACCAACCATGTCTCCTCAGATCATAAAAAAACAAAAATATCTCCACAGATCATTTTCCTTCATACATATATCTAAAATATGTAGATGGACGAATCAACAATGTCTCCTCAAACCATTCTCCTTCATACATATGTTTAAAATATGTAAAGTATGTAGATGGAAGAATCAACGATGTCTCCTTAGACCACAAATCATCAACAATGTCTCCTTATACCACAAATCATCAACAATGTCTCCTTAGACCATTCTTGAATGGGTGGTGCCAATCTTACAACGCCCTCGTTGCAGTTGGACCACCCTGGCTCTAATACCAAAAAGAAATACAAGATAGAAGAAATACAATATAGAAGAAAGAGAAGAGAATGTATAAAAAACTTGAATGAGATAAATCACTCATTCACAACTCTAATATTTATAGATAAAAAAGAGCAAATGCTCATATTACAAAAAAAGGAAATTAAATAAAATCACAACATATTCTATGGCTAGACATGTGCGTAAATAAAGTCAAAAACTATGATTCGTGGCTATCAAATCTCTGCTAACAAAAATAGACTATATAACTTCTTAAACATGTTTGGAACTTTGGAAGTGAACAAAGGTGGATAATTTTGCAAGTGTGGGAACAGGTATCATACATAGTTTGACGCTCAGTAGGGACAAGTGCTCCATAATTATACCAAGCCATAATGCACTTTTTCTTCCTTTTAATACAAAACCAATAATATTTACAGAGAAGGACAGTAAGAAAAGAATAGCAGAAAACATAAGAAACTGAGAAATCCAGTTTGTAGAGAAGTACAATGTCCAAAAACTAAAGCTACAAAACAAGAAACCCATAACTCCTTAAACTCCAAATTCCTAATCCTCCCATGGGGGAAAACAGCTTTCTAAGTGCAACCAGTGTGGTAGCACCATCTTCGCAAAAAAAAATCAGCATTATCAATATTGGACCAAAAATCCCCCCTAATCTTTGGCCCCTGAAGAAGCAAAGAAATCCACAATCTAAAGCATGAGGGGAGATAAGTGACATTAGCTGACAGAAAAGGATCCCATTCATCTCACAACTTCAAGGTTGCCTCCATGAAGCAAATATGTAAAACCCATGGTAAGGGCTTTTGCCAAGGCCTCTTATGAGAGTTAGACCATTATTTTGATGCATTGATGGTGTTCACTATCTAAGGCATAAGGTGAGCTAGACTATGTATTTTTTAAGCATAAATTAAGTTAATGGTCTGAAGCATGACTTGTTATGTAATTATTGCATATCTAGAACTAATTCTAAGGGCAACTAAAGTTCAACCAGTAAAATACTATAAAACTAAGTTTATAATATAACCTAAATCCCTAATTAGAGGCTATTGCAGACTGATAACATTATCTACAATTCATATGTCAAATGAACCACCATAATTCAATTGTAGAACCACTTAAATCCACTTACCCATGTCAGTTCCTCCAAAGCATCCACTTTTCTTTTAGTGAAAAAGGCAAGCTGCATAAAAGGCACACAGATATGCTCTTTAGTGATTCTTCTCAAGAAATGGTTATTAGTACCCTTAAAAGCAACTTATGCATGAAACCATTTGCAAAAGTAAGTCAACCCATACATGGTAATAGTGGTGATCGGGGGTCTCCACTTCTACTGGAATCTCAAGCAAGTTTCCATCAAAGCATCTAGATTGCCAAAAAAAAATAAGAATACTGAGATTATATCATCTTGAATAAAACAGAAGGAAAATTAGTTATATTAAAGAGTGTAATAACTTCTTAAAGTAAGATTGTAAGCTGACTATAATATTCTCACAAAACCAACTTTTATCAATTATTCTTTTTCTTTTTTTGCAGGGCTTTACCCAAGAAGGGAGCACTTCCAGATTTTCTCAATGGCCAGGGCTAAAGCCAGGTCAGAGAGGGGGTTTAAAAGTAATTTTCAACCAGATATTGACACACCTCAGTTAAAACCTCACTGACTGCATCATTGCCCCTAGCGCAGTGATATAAGGTGTCTCACAAAACTAGCTTTTATCAATTATTCTTTTTCTTTTTTTGCAGGGCTTTACCCAAGAAGGAAGCACTTCAGATTTTCATAATGGCCCAGGGCTAAGGCCAGGTCAAATGGGGGTTTAAAAGTAATTTTCAACCAGAAATTGACACACCTCGGTTAAAACCTCACTGACTGCGTCATTGCCCCTAGCGCAGTGATATAAGATGTCTTTAAGTATTTACACAAAAGAGAAGCATATAGAAACTGGTACCACTTGCATCAATTAAATACAAGGTTTCTTAATTATTGCGGGCTGTTAAGAGGATTTAAAAAGCTACACCCTCTCTAACAGTTTAAGCTTTTACAGTAAATGGTGATCAATATGGTATCAGAGGAGGCAAGGGCCCGAGTTCAAACCTCACTGTCACCCTAATAAGTAAAATTGAAACACATGTTGGACCAAAACAAGGCCACACATGAGAGGGCGTGTTAGAGGATTTAAATAGTTACACCCTCTCTAACAACTTAAGCTTTTAAAGTAGATGGTGGTTAACATGGGCAGATTGGACAAGGGAGTATGAAAATACACAAATAATGAAAAACCAACAAGCCAAACTACAGGCCGAAGAATTACAAAACAAAATGTATCAAAATTAGGTGTCTATTGGGTGTCATATCATGTATCATACAGTTCCAAAAGAAGTGCTATATTTCATTGCTGATTGTGGATTTGATGATGCTCTCCTCCAAGGATTAACTTATGTGTGTTATCAAGATTTCTTTATTGCTTTCACTTCTGTTCTCACAGCATAACATATCATCAATTTTCTTTTAGAAGAGAAGGTCAGCCACACAAGATACTAACAGAACATCTTTGGTCTCTGAAAATACTGAAAGCACTTGGATTGCAATGTGTGTCAAAGCCAGAAGAAAAGGTCAACCACAAAAGAAGATGGATACAAAGATTGTCAAATAAAAAGGCGCAAATCTCTCAAAGCTTGATCACATATCTAGATTAAGGTAAGTTGAGACCATAGATATCAATTATGACCAAGGTATGATCTTTAGAAGGCTTTAAAATATGTTTTAATCTCATTTATCAAAAATAGGGTTTTTAATAAAATGATTTAAAACCGTGAACATCGATCGAATTGATTGAGATTTGTAGTAAAATTCTTATTGTATTCTAGTAAGCTTCGATCAAAATCTCAATCCATTAAAAAACTATGGCAGCGTGTGTCAATCAATCACACCCTGTAGAACTACATTTTTGGAAACTATCTTAAATCAGACTTCTACTAGGATTCTATTCATCATACCACATACATGGATCTTCTAATTGACGATATGGGGTTATTGTCAGTCTAGGATCTCGTCAGAGCTTTTACTCTTTACATATTACCGATAGAATTTATATCTTTAGAGAGAGAAAGTTTTGAAAATCAATATAGGGTTCTTATTAGATTACCACATTATATGTGATTGAGAAAATCCAAGTAAGGAGCAAAATTGAAACTACCAAAAAGAGCATCAACCGAGTAGTTCATAAAGAAAAAGTTCAACAGATGTCACTAGACGTGGGGATCGGAAGTTGATAGAGTGCATAAATGGAGTAGCGGCTGAAAGGATCTTCCATAAGCCTGACTTGGGAAGGACTAGGTGATTCTAGGGTGGAATTTGGGAACTTAGTTTTAACCTCTTTCTCACATAGCTGATTTTAATCTGTCTGGATTAGGTCCGGCGGTTTTTCTCTTTCTTGAGTTTTCTACATAAAAATCAGGTCTCTACTCTTTTTAATTTTTGCTTTATATGTTTTTGTGGGTGCAATTGAGACTTCAATTGAGCTAACTAGCTGGATTCCAAATTAAACTTAATGGTAATTTTAAACTTAGTTAATTTCAAATTAAAATCCATAAGACATATTCAAACCACCTCTATGTCAAATTGATCTATGCACTCTAACATGATTAGAGCCTTGGGTAACAGTCTAGTAGTACTTCCCAAAATCAGATGTGTGAACCATGAGTGCTACAGCACCCTATTTGTCCAGTTAATCTAGAAATTGCCAAAACACCATCAACTCCAAGAATATAAGAAAACAAAGATAAAATATGGATTGCAGTCAAACTAAAACTTAATTTCTGAAACCAATTTCTTAACTTTCCTTCTATTGATATTTGCTTTTCCTTAAGCTTCTTATGATAGCATCAAGTCAGAACTTGATTCACTCCTTTACTTCTTCTACCCTCTCCTTCTATGTCACATATATATATATATATATATATATATAAACACACACACACAAACAATAAATATATAGTTGAGATATGTTTCCACTACTGTAGTTTTAAATGTAAGATTTCGTTTGCATGTTAGTCTGATTTACTAAAATTACATTAAATAACTAAAATTACTATTACCCTACCATGCCAACATCCTTTCTTCAACCAGAAAAGAAAAAAAAAAAAAAAATTTGTGGCCTGGGTGTTTAAGTAATTTTTTTTTTTCCTTTTTTTCGGAAGGTCTGTGTTTAAGTAATTCACGTTGTGCAATCCATAGGGAGAGTTGACATATATATATATATATATTCAAAGAGAAGGATCCACGTAAAGATATTACCTATGATTTATAAATCTTGCAACATTTCCATAATATGTTGCATCCAAACAAAGTGCATCTTCATCCTTTAAAACTCCTTCCGAACCCCAATCTGCATCAAGTAGCACAGGGTATGTATGTCTCAAATTGCCACTGCTTTGGTTATTCCTCTCGTACAATTCCATGTTGGTCAAAATTTCTCCAACATATTCACAGACAAAAGCACCTTTAGGCAATTCCTCAAGTGTTCGAAGACCCCATCCTTTACCATCATTGGTTAAAAACACCTAAAAAATAAAAGTAAATTTTAACAGTTACAAAACAAAATAATAGAAGACTGCTAAATTGAAAGAGCTAACGATGGTGTGGCACGAGTTCAAAAACTTCGTGGTTGAACAACTTCCTTCTACTTTTTTGTCTAGGAAGTTGAGTGACTACAACTAGCAAGTTATATAACTTCAGTGGTTTCAATTAGATGTCTTCACTACTGAAAAAATAGCAAATTATCAATGAATCGCTTATTTTCCAATATTTAGCAAAGCATTTACTGAATTCACTAAGGAACCATTGCCTGCTTTTAGTAAGAAATGCATTCAGAACATATATTTTGGGTTGAAAACATCTAACGGGTGGTTGAAGCATAAGAGGGGGAAAAAGAATTGCCAAACACACTAGCTCACCTGCAAATTGCAGGCAATGCCTCGCTGTACAACACGATTCCCACACTGTAAGTTGCAACCACATTTTCTCCAGCACTCTTTGATAAACTTCCTCACTAAATGGCCCTTACATGGTTCAGGCCTGTACCCATTCTTAGCCCTCTCTAGTGGGCAATCTTCACAATAAAAGTTATAGTGTTTTTGAGGTTCTTGATTCATAGAAATACAAGCAGTCAGAAATTCTTCTTTCAGCAAGCCTTGGGGTGTGTAGGCAAACTCTCCCCCCGTGTCGCGAGCACATGCACAAGGTACAGAAAATGAAAGACAATCCCCTGAACAATCTGAACAGCAATCCTCATCCGCAATACGAGCCAGAGAGAAATGTATATATGCATTTTGATATATTGTATTTTGGGGTATGTAAATGAAATTTGGTACATGCTCATTGCCGATTTCATCTATCAATGAAATTTTCACCTTTTCCATACCTTTTGCCATATCACTGATTCTACGAAAGGACCGCTTTTTACCATGAGCTGTAGGTTGCTGCTCAGCAATCACCAAACTACGTGAACTTGAAGATCCAGAAAAGCTCAATTCCTTTTTGTTCAATTCCCTCCCCAAACTACCAGTTCTAAGAATTTCTCTGCTGTGCTCCCGAATGCGTCCATCACAATCACCAGATCTTTTTACAAGAAACCTATCAGCAGAATCAGTACCCAGTTCCAAATAACTTTCACATAGTTCTTTCAATAACTTCATTACTGAAAATTGAGGCCCAACAATCTTGTACGATCTTAGATATTTATTCTCCACGTATTTCACAACTGCATCAAAATTTGGACAGTGAAAATTCGGTTGTCCAAGGGCAGAATTACAGTCCAAATATAGTTTCACTTTCACCTCTCCAAATGGTGATGAAGCAATATCAAAACTACCTTCAGAGTCTGTGCCATAATTGGCTGCTGTGCCATCAACTTTATTGCCATTATCCGCATTTTGGGTCATAAAATATTTGACAGAATCAACTACAGTTGAAGAACCCTCCAACGAACCTGGAAAGACAAGACAAAAACAAAGCCAGCATGTCAGGAATGATCCAGTATACTTTGACTAATACATCATAGTTAATGCAAGTCCAATAGGAGAGCATTTGAAGTCGGTAAATAATTTCTTAGTGCTTTTATTTATATAAGTATTTTTAAGAATTTCTTAGTTCTTATAATTAAACTTATGAAGCTTTTGCTGAATTTCCTTGGATCAAAGAAAGAAGATAAGAAACATAGTGTATTTCCTCTAAAGTTGACACGGTTCAAGCCACTGGCTGGCTATAGGAGCATAAAATAACTGTGTAGTGTCTACCACACCTTTTGCCTTGTTCAACTGAAGTGTTTGAATCGGTTTAAATCATAATGATCAACAGATTACCACCAATGAACAAGACGTCAGAGTACGTAGGGCTGCTGCCTTCACTCAGTTTAAGGTCAATTAAGCAAATATAATATTATTGTCATCTAGTTAACTGGAAGCTGCAGGGCAATGTTTGATAACAGGTAGGCAGATGCAACAATCAGGAAAAAAGAGATGTAGAAGAGCACTGCTCAATATTTTTGGCTCCTCAAAAGCTCTTCAATTTGCAACCCTTCTACCTTTGCTGTAGCTATTTATTTGCTGCAGCCATGGTTTTCAAGTCGCACCTTTAAGCCAAATTTTTCTATCTGAAGGGAGGTTTTTAATACCGAGACATTAGCCTAATCTGAATTTCAGTGGTTTTACGTTTAAATACTGAAAATTCTAGAATCAGGGATGCAGCTTTAATCCTACAAGCACAAAGACTCATGAAAAATAGTTCTATTGTTCCTTTAGATTTCCATTTACATCCTCTTCAGTGCAGGGTAAAGTAAAACAATAAAATTAAGAATTAGTCTGAAATTGAATATATAATAATGGCTACTGATAAATTTTTGTGGACATCACAGAAATTATGTACACAAACATGCTATAAGTCTTATAATCTTATTGCAGGTCAAATTTAAGTTATAGATAAAATACCTGAATGGATCATCGATGTGGGTACTGCAAAATGTGGACGATTATCTTTAGGCATCTTTTCTTTCCGAATATGATCATAACCAAGTCCATCCATTGCTGGATTAGACAGAAATGTAGATGATGCTCTATCAAAAGATGATTTCCTATTACTGGGAACAAAGTGAGATGAAATGGGATCCTTCCCTTTGTCATTAATGGGTGGCTGAAGCAAATGAGAACTAGATATACTTCTCTGGTCTTTCAGACATGATTGAGATAACTCCTGCAGTTTTGGTAGAATTGAAGTTTGTGATATATTGTCCTCATCTAGATCTAACATTGTGTTTGCATTGTCCACTGTGGATGAAACCTGATCTTCCTGCTGTGCCACATGCAGTTTCTTAAATGGAGGTTCTGACCCATGATGCACCATAACGTCTTTCCTCTCATATTCCCTTTGCTATTCAGAAAAGGTTGGGAGACCAAATGTATTAGAATACTTCAAGACTAATCAATTGGAAGATTGTGATCGCATATTAATAACAATGCAGCCATGCATTAAGTATAATTAATGGGTGACTTGAACCAATATTATGATAGCATCTGCAGGTGACAGCTAGTATGAATGCATTTATAAGTCTCTTCTCCTATCTGATGAGGATAGATGCTGAAATGGGAATAGCTATAACAGCACATCTATGTGGTTACAGGGCATAGATAGAAACAAATGAATTTTACTTGGTTAAGTTGAAAATGAAAGGAAAGGGATATAATACAAGAAAGTTTTAAATATTAAACAGAGGAAATTATATAAATGACTCGTTAAATATATTGTAATACAAGAGTAAACCTTATCATCCCCGGATTCAAATATAGCATCAGCAAGAGTACGATAGTTATCCTCCTCAATAAGTTCCCATCTTTTGTCATACAATCTAAGAAGGTTCTTGAGAACTGGTTTCACGGTTTCTGCAGAAATGCCCAAGTCATTCATTGCACTGAAGGCCTTTGCAACTTTTGGATTGGGTGCCATCAATTATCCAAAAGCTTGCTACCTGATTATGGTATCAATTTGGCAGCTACTTGTTTCTTTCTGATGCAGACTCCCCCGCCCATAAAAATGGTACCTACATTTGCCAGGCTTATAAGACATCCACAGCATTTGAGAAGAGTTTATGGAATTTATTAATTAGTTACAAAGAGGTGGAATAAAGATGTTCTACTAAAATGACATATTTTCCAGTTTGTTTCTGAGGCATTTAAAGGTATGTTTCCCTCGTCAATAATTCCTTGAAAGAAAAAGAGTTGGAGCAAAAAACAATTAACAGCAATATAAACAAATAGATTCATCACTACTATAGAACTGATTGTTTTTCACCTTACAAATCTGTGAGCGTGTGTAATAAGGATGAAATGAACTCATGTAACACAATTATGCAAACACATCAATAAATTGGAAACGTTGGCTTAAAAAAGTGGAAGACGAAGAATATAAACAACAAGGTTTTGCAATTTACCTCCAATGTGCCAACTTAACCCCTAAATGGTACAAAATATACAATTTAGTCCACAACATCATATCACCATACTAGCAATTGGTTGTCACTAATACGAAGTTCTTTCTGTTTAAATTAAACCCCCAAAAATTAAAAATTAATATTCTGCTATAATACAAAATAATGCCATTAGTTAAAAAGCATCATTTAATAATTTAATTCTCTCTAATCTTTCTGCTCAGTAACTCTAGCTATTTCCCTTCTAAACTTTGTTTCCCCTCTGCAACTCTTGTTTATTTTCCATTCTCTCTCTACTCACTCTTTAGCCAATGAAAGGTTTCTTCATTGACAGGTTCATTCTAAACTCACCATGGTAGAGGCAGCTATCATTAATTCTGTCGATCTCACCACGATTGCTGCCACAAATAGCGTACACTACCGACCATCATCACCATCTCAAATAGCAAAATACCACCACTCCAGAAGCATAGATACAGAGAAAGAAGCACATGACAAGACAGAGTAATATACCCACGTCTGTTTTTATTATAATAGCAGTTAAGGTTATGTACAGAGCACAAGGGCCTTGATTCAAAAGAGTGTGTTTTTACTTGAATTTTGCTTAACAACTTAAATAAGTGCAAGAATCTGAATACTACTAATATTCCTGTCCCACTAGTGGTTTAAAACCACCCAATCATTACCTATTGACTGCTTCAACTCCTTGAATACCTACAACAGAACAAACCCCTATTCCCTACCCCTCTTTTCCAGCTGCACAACATCCTGTGACCAATCACCCTTGCAGATTCCAATGTGACCAATCACCCTTGCAGATTCCAATGTGACCAATCACCCCAAACAACTGCTTATGAAATTTGTTGCCTCCGAACATTGAACTCCAATAGCAATATCTGGCAAGTTCACTATCGTTGTAATTAAATATGTAATGCAAGTGTTACCACCGGGAACAACTGAATTAGAATCCTGAGGATTCTATATGTGATCTTCAATTATTTTAAACCCCGAGATGCTGTTCTTGACAATTTATTGGGTTCTGTGATTGATTGAGCAGCTGCACAGTGCTGTGTTGGACCCGGTGGGTTGGTTGTGTGAGTGAGTTTTGATATTGGTAGCAAGGCGGATTAATGAGCTGGTTATAAGAGTCATTGTAGTACATAGGGTAGAGTTGGTGTGTATATGGCATTATGGCTAAATAACTAATTGACTCTAGGAATGTTTGCACACTGTACATCGGTGGTTTTATGAGATAATGTTGTTTGGGTGAAACTTTGACCAAACAATAGAGCAAAAAGACAGAATGTTAGAGTGGTGAAACTACAAACGCTAACATTAACATATTTCTTCTACTTCAAATTCATAAAGATCATGACTGGATTCCTCTAAAATATGGAATGAATTGTACTGAAGACAACCTAAAGAACTCCAACAAATGCAGACACAAAGATACTCAAAGACTCCATTTAGATCTTTGAGAGAACGAGGGAAGGCAAAATAAAAATGCCAAGGAAACAAAGATTTTTTTTAAGTATTTTATTTTCCTTTTGTCATTCTTTGAAAATCCAAACAATTGTAAGAGCCTAAAGATTTTGTTTTAGGGCTACTAACATTAATAGAAGGGTTGTGCTATACAAACCAAAATTCATAAGCCAACTAAACTCTCCTGATTTAAGTAATTGGCAAATCTTCATCACAAGTGAGGCCAATCCACATTTTAAATTCACAAGAGCTCTTTTTAGGCTGTGTTCGGCTGCATAGAATTAGAGCTTTGGAATTGGAATTGGAATTGGAATTGGAATTGGAGGAGAGAAAAGCAAAACAAAACTTTCTCCAATTCTACCAATTCCAATTCCAATTCCAATTCCAATGCTCCAATTTATGCAGCCGAACATAGCCTTAATATAATTAGCTAACTCACTCAAACTACTCGGTAGAATTCCATGAAAGAACTTTGCATTATAAATGATATCTTCATTTTATATATAATTAAACATGAATGATAAAAAAACAGCTCCTAATATATGATTACATATTCATAAGCAAATCTATCAAATGAAATAAATTACATTAACACAAGAATATGAAGTAATATAATGCCAACCAAATGAGTAGACATACATGTAAATAACAAGCACTTCAATAAGAATATTACACGCCACACCACCAAAAAGGTTGAAAACGAAATATAAGCATCATAAATAAAGCCATTAGAAGATGTTAGCCGTCACCACATAGTTAAACATGCTACGATAAATGTCGCGAAACGAGAACACAATCAAGAGAAATTGACACACACCACACAAATAATACAAAGATTTACGTAGTTCAACAGAAAGCCTATGTCCACAATGAACATCGAGATTTCAGTATGTAAAAATAGGAGATTAAAAGTTTCAACCCCCAAACCCTCTCTCTTTATCTCACTCTCTTTATTGCGGTTTTTAGACCTAGAACCTAGTCCTAAAACAAAATTCGGGTCACAACTTCACAAAACATTAAAGCAAATCATTTCAAGGAATCAATGCACAAACAATTTTATTTTATTTTCACACCGGGTAGCTAGTATAAATATATGAAAATTGATAGGTTTTTTTAATCTAATATTAGTTTCAAACCATGCATTCATCAATTTCTTTAAATGTTCATCTAAGATTACACAATAAAACATAAATTAGATAGAATATTACTTTCAAATAAGAGAGAATATTACCTACCCGATTCTCAAGTGTTTGAATTGATTGATGAGTGTCTCTATGGATCCTTTTTCCTCGTTGATCCAAATAGTAGATAATGTAATTTTTTTCCTATTTGAAACTAACAAACCCAATTTGCCCTGTAAGAAAACCTATCAGAAATTGTTATAACCAAAAACTTAATCATAAAATCGATAGAAAAGTAAACACACACCACACAACCAAAAACTTAATCAAGAAATCGACAAAAAAAAGTAAACACACGCCACACAACCAAAAACTTAATTAAGAAATCCACAGAAAAGTAAACACCCACCACACAAAGAATACAAGATTTCACTATGTGAAAATAAAGAAGATTACAAGATTCAACCCCCAAACCCTCACTATTTCTCTATCTTTTGTCTTGCTATCTTATAACACACCAAATCCTAAATGCCCTAATATACTTTACAAGAGAGTCCTAGAACATGGTCCACTGCCTGAAACTAACAACATTAGGAAAGCTATAATAATAATAATAAACCTAATCACTAAAAACTACTAAATACCAACTTTAAGTTTTGATTATTGGGTCGTTTCGCGATGGGTTTTCTGGAATCGAAACATCGATTGAACTACACCCAAAAAAAAAAAAAAAAAAAACCAACAATCCGTCGTAACGCAGAAAAGATAATAACAGTAATTGCAATTATCCCAAGCTTCTATCAATTTATTGATTATTGATTTAAATTTACAAAAATATCCTTCAAATATAAGTAAATGAACTTATTTTTTTAGTGGTTATTCATATGAAGCAGCAAAAAATCTAACAGAAATAGAAATAATTAAAATAACAAAATATATTTATAAAATAAACAAGTGTTGAAGCTAAAAAATTAGAAACAGTAAAAAACTAAGAATGACAAAACAGTGGCGTAAAATAACAAAATAAAACATCTGTTGTAACATATAAATGTTCTAAAAGATGTGCAGACGTTATATATTAATTATGGGTATTGTTTCAGATGATGATTAGAAAATGCAATACATAGATGTCCTTTCTACAGGATGCCCAAAATGCACCCTAAAATAAAGGTGTCATCGTGAAAAAAACCACTCCAGAAGTGTTCGACACCTCACAAAAAAAAAAAAAAAAAAAAATTACTTATCATGTATATAACAGAGCAAATGCTCTGTTTGGCTGCCGAGAAAACAGGGGAAAAAAGGAACGGGCACTTAACCCTTGATAGAAAGTTGCCAACAGTTATAGTTCTTGCCTTTTTCAACCGTATTCTTGTCTACCAAGCGAAAAATTAAGAGAATGAAAACATCAAACTACCTGTTAGCTATAACCCCATTGAAAACTGAACTAGAAAATGCAAGAAAAAATACGAACCAGAGAAGAATTAAGCGAGAAAATCAAATGGTAGAAATAACACCGCCATTGCACGACGCGCTTTTGGGGGAGAATATCGTGTCTGAAACAGAGTTGTACAACAGTATGCTTTTCCGCAGAGCGGGCCTGCAGAGCGTTACAGAGGTGTGTGATATATGTGTGTTTTGTCTGTGTGTTATATATAGATGCAACGAGAGACTATGTATGCCAATAGAGAATATATATATATATATGCAATATATATATTAGAGAGAGAGAGTGAGAGAGGAGGTTAAGAGTGGAACACAGAGTTTACAGAGCATATAAAACAGAGTGAAGAATACGAAACGTGAGTGGTTATCAGATGCGATATTGTAAAAGTAAGTTTTTAATGGTCTTGACACGTGGATTAAATCTATTGGGGGATTGAGAATTGTTCGCTGGACTTAGTAGTGATTTGTAGTGTTGAGATTGGATGTAAGGTGGGTGGTATATGAGATTGTTCGTGTGGGATTATTGCCCACTAACGATTTCGATATCCGAACCTGACTTTGACACGGGAAGGACCCGGTTTGGGATCTGCCTCGGCGTATGGTTTGTCACATGTGGATATTCTTTATTGGTTTAACGAAGCTATTTTAGTGGGTCCTCAATTCAATTTTTGCTATTAAGACAGTTTTGTAATAGAAAGAGTCATTAACTCATTGTATTAAATATATGGGCTTTGCTAATCAAAGCGCGCTGTGGTTTTAAATGCATTTAATTACTTATGTTTATATTTTAGTGAAATTCTACGGATATTACTTTTTTAAATAAATATATCTTTTTAAATTATTTAATATTTCTTTTTCTCTCATCTTTAATCTATTCATATAGAAATGTGTTCGTGTGTTTGTATATATATATATCCATATGGAAATGCGTAGGTGTATATATATATATATATATATATATATATATATAATAACTACTACTAAATTCTGAAAAAGGAAAAAAAAACTATAGTTAGAATAATCCATTTTCAAGAGATGGATTCGAAAGGAAAAAAAGAGCTAGAACAAAATCCGAAAAGAAAAAATAATAATAAAAAATAAAAGAGAACGAAAAAAGAATCCATATACAAGATGAAGATAGATTCTAAGATTTTTAAAAAATACAAAATTAGTTTATATATATATATATATATATATATATACACACACACACACACGTGTATATTTCTTTTTACAACTATCTTGGTGAATAAATTATTTGTTTAAAAAAAAAAAATCATTTAAAGAAGGATAGTTGTAAAAATAAATATCCTTCTTTAAATGAATTTTTTTAAAAAAATAAATAATTCATTCACCAAGAGAGTTGTAAAAAGAAATATACACGCACACATTTTTATATGAATAGATAAAAAGGGGAGAGAAGAAAGGTTGTAAAAAGAAATATACACATGTGTGTGTGTGTATATATATATATATACACACGCGCACACATTTTCATATGGATAGATGAAAAGGGGAGAGAAGAAAGGTTAGATAATTTAAAAGGGTATATTTGTCTAAAAAAATAATGTTTGTAGAGTTCCACTAAAATAGAAACATAAGTAATTAATGCATTTAATGTATTTAATGGGATCTGATTCCTATAATAATAGGACAAACGACTATAAAATAAAGCTACAGTCACGCAAGGCGACTGTGATTAGTAAAGCCCTAAATATATTAATTAAAAGATGTATTAAGTAATTTATTTGATTTTTAATCGAATCAACTTAAAAATAAATGAGTTGATATTGGCACTACATAATTATCTTATGGTAATCCATTCTCTTTATCTCTTTAAATGAAATTACAAAAGAATCCATACATCACACTAAGTTTAGATCTTAAATTTTTAGAGTAATAATATTCATACAGAACACTTATAGTAAATTGTCTAACCAAGTAATTTTTAATTGATTATTTATACCAAATACAACTAAGTGGGGGGCTCTACTTCCTTATTTGTTACATAATTGACCAATTAAAAGATTATGTCTAACAATTCACTGCAGCTATTAGGTGCAAAAATCATTTTCCAAATTTTTAATATCATAATATATAAATAAATAAATAAAAAGGCTAGAATGTATAATACTTAGTTTTTAAATTGTTGATAATAGAGTAGTTTTGAAATTCTTGCTCAAAGGATTAGCTCAAATAAAGAACATATATAATTTTGAGTTGTCAATCAAATCATTTGTTATGTAATATGGTCAATTTTGTGTGCCTATGATCGAATTCATAAATAAGCAATGGTAAATTTTCAAGAAATTTTTTTCATGTGATTCATGTTCTTTTTTTAACAATTTTATTTTACTATATATTTGTTTTATAATTCAAGTCTCATTTTTTTAGCAATTTTTACTTATTCCTAGTAGGTGATTTTATTTTTATTTTTTATTTTTGGACTATGGGAAGGTGTGTTTGTGTTGGATGCTCTCTCAATTTTGACTTCTTTTTTATTATTATTTTTGTGTGTATTCTCTTGGTCAAAAAGAAAAATCACAAGTTCCTCTCTTTGTTCAACACACACACACACTCCTAAAAATAAAACCAACAAGTGCTCTCATATTTTTTCCCTTTTGGTGTTGGTATTATTGTTTTATTTTTGATAATGTTGTTTAATGGCTTCTATTTTGGTAAAGAGAGATTTGACAACCAGAATCCAAAGTCTAATAAGGAAGTACAATTATGGTATTAAAAATCATAGAATCAAAGAACCCTCTTGTAATTTCATTTGGAGATAAAAACTGAGGATACTTGTGGAGGGTCAATATTATCTCTCTTAAAAAATTATCTCAATTCAATAATTAAATGTAGAAAGCTAATAATTCTGATCATCAAGAACTTTCTTGATAGTATTACTCTTATTCTATGAAGCACAGACACCGACACGGGTACGATATGACACAGACACTCGGATACGGCAAATTTTAAAAAAATAAGACATGGACACGGCAACGATACGGCGATAAAATAATAATATATATTTGTATTATATATAAAATTTTAATTTCACTTATAATTGTATTTATATTAATAGACATAACTCATTTATATTAATTCCAACCAAACTTCTATTAAAATAAAAACAATAAATAAGTAGTAGTATATATTTGTATCCAATACTAAATTTGTAACCAAACACATCTAAAAAGAGATAAGTTTTTAATGTTATCTTCTTGGTCTTCCCACATTGACGGATTATCTTTTTTCTCCTCTAAGCGACATTTCTATTTCTTCTGTCTCTTAATTTTCTGTATCTTTTGTCATTCATTGATGGCTCTATTTTACAATATAGTGATATATGAATGAATATGCATACAAAAGTTCAATCGAACCATTAAAAAAAAAATTTCTCTTTAATTCTCTGAATCAAATTGGGACTTGGTAGACTTCGATTGATTTACACCAACAAATCATGATCATCAGGTTCTTCATCACCTCTTTGTTGCTTTCCTCTCTCTTCCAGGTAATCTCTCATCCCCTCCATCTCTAAATCTATAGTTGTGTTTGGTGTGTTGTCTTCGATCAATCCACACACATATCTTCATCTTTATTTTTTTTCCTAACAAAAATCTGAATTGCCATGTCCTCAGAAGTGTCCCAGTCGTGTCCTCCGGCGTGTCCAACTTGAAGAAAAAAAAAAGAATAAAAAATTGGGCACCTGTAAAAGAGTGTCGGACACATGTCCGACACTGGTACGTCGCCCATACCCTATGTGTCTGTGCTTCATAGCTCTTATTATATAAAATGTTGAAAAATATTTTAAAATATATTTAAAATGTTTTTTAAAATAAACATGTATATAATTTAATTATAATTATTTTGGTTCATTTCTCTTTAGCAATAAAGTTTCAAATGTGTTCACATATATATGCATATATTTGGATGGTTCATTCATTAACAAATGAGATGTTTTTTTTTAAGTATTCATACTAGACTTATGGTAGTATTAATGGATTTATATGATTCATTGTTTCACTTCCTTTTAGGGTGAACCATTTTAAGTTCATTTATCAAATTTATGAGATATATTTTGAAATGTTTGAACACATTTATGATACTCATCTTGATAGGTCTATTTAAGATCGCATTTCCTTCATTCAAAGTATGGAAGAAATATAGATCAAGTTCATTCCCATTCCATGTTTAAGTTTTCTTATATTAAAGTGTAGAAATTTTCTTTTCTATTTTTATATATTATATATTTATGACATTCTGAAAGGAGATTAAGTGTTGCACCCAATAATGTATCGTGCAAATACATTGTGGTTGGGTTGAGTCCAGTCTTGATTAAATCCCAG